TGCTGTGAGGAAATGCCACAAAACCAGGAGAGACGCACATCTGGAAGAAGCTCTGATTACTCCAAAGTTATCTTATTTTCCGTAATTATTTACATGTTCATCTTGCCTTACACAAATACTTGATTTTATTAATCTTTATACCCTCCTCATGCTTTGCATATGGTAGGAACTCACTGAATGATTATTGCTGAAACATAAATACAAGAAAACATTGAATGTTATTGCAGGGTGGGCACAGGGTTACAGTGACTTTATTATATGACAAAAGTTATCCTAGTACTTTTCACAGATGATTTAATTTAATCCATGTAACTTCACACTTTGGGAAACAAAGACCAAGGGAAATTAGAAATTTATGTGAAAGTCACATATGGTGACTGTAACAGAACATGAATTCAGATTTTCCTGAATACAAAACTCAAACCCTTTCTACTTCATCACACACCACTCTGGTTTGTTACTGTCAGTACTCTGAATATAGTTTTATTTCAGTGGGCCAGATTCACCTTAGTCAATGATGGGCTTAAACTGTAAAAGTTGTGATTTCATAAAGAAACAAATGTTTTGTAAATTTGGGTGCTATTTTTGGTCTATAGGTATAGTTAAAAAATGCATAGCACAAAACTGTAATAGCAGAAATTTAGGCATAGTTTTGCTAAAACACACTAGTAAAACCAGAATATCCAAAACAAACATACCTTTTCTGAGATAGTGTATTACATATTAAGAAAGGAAAAAAAGTTGGTTTTGTTCTCCCCTCCATGTTTTTTTCCTTAAAACACATTCAGTTTGTATTCTAGTCCTCACAAGAGATAAGCTACAATTCTACTGTTACTAGCTCATTTTTGTTGACTTTGAGCAGGTTAACCAGTCAACTATTTTAGTCTCCTCATCTGTAAAGAAATACCCAGAAAGATGAATATTGAACTTTAGATAATAAATTTGTCATCGAACAAAGGGATTAGAATTCTGCTCAAGAAGAAAACTTCATACTGTACTACAATGATTTGAACAATTATAACATATTTGTAACTTATTAACTATAAAATTACTTCCTCATTTTAGAAGTATTATTCTGTCCTTTGCCTGATATTTAATGTATCATTTGGTTTAGAACATACAATACTGTACAATAATGAAATATCAGACTATGTGGATTACTAGTTATCATTCAAAATAATTATCTTATGATGGTTAAATAAATTTTTACTTGCATTTATTTGACGTAAAATACAATATAAAAACAAATGACCTGGTCATATTCTCCAACAATGATCAACTTCAGCTTATCCATCCTGGTGATTATAAAGGAAAAACAAATATTTCTGACATACCTTATTTTTGAGAGTGTTTTGCTTTAGAAAGTCTTGGAAATCAAGGTGATAATATAAAACTACAAAATAAACAGAAATAACAATTTACTAAGTTTTTGCCATTTTCTCATTCCTGAGTGAAGAGATACCTCTAGGGAGAAAAGGGCCAAGACTCTTAGTTCTTAGGCCTTATTTTTCTCATCTGTAAATTGGAGATAATAAAATCTAATCTTAATGAGGATTGAGATCACATTTGCCTCGCAGAAAAGGGCATGAAATCTAGTGTTCTGCCACTTACCATTTGAGTGATCTCGGCCAAGTTACTTCTTTGAACTTTTGTTTTACTCATTTGTAAAAGGGGGCTAATATGTCTAGCTTATGTAGGTTTGTTGTGGGGATCAGATTAAAAAAACAACATGTGAAGAAGAGATGAGAAAAAAAGGAAAGATCTGTGATGTTTTGAAGTGGCTTTTGGTCAAAAGGAATAAATTTCAACCCAATACAAAGAAACAGGTTCTTTTAAATGCATATCCAACTACCTGAATAAAATTAATTCCTTAAAAAAAAAAAATGAAAATGTTTGATTACAAAGTACTAGAAAATGTAAGATTAATTATTTCCAAAGTGAAATATAATTTTCCCTGCTACATAGTGTTGCAGATTCTTAGATAAAATATTACATGGAAAAGGACTCAAAGTCTTTTCTCTGTATGACCCCCTTCTGTGTCTGCTTTCCTATGGAAATAAGTGATAGTTCTACCCTTGCACTTGTCTAGTTTATAGCAAAGTCATTTGTGGCAAAGGATAGCAACTACCCCATGTTACTGCTAATCATTTCAAGAATAACTGAACAGTTAATGACATTTCTGCCCCTTCTGGAATGTAAAAATTCTTAAAACATAGTTTTCTATGTGCTACATAAACAATGGTTTCCTATAGAGAACTCTTCTCTAATAATGAAAAGGCAACTTGTATATAATTACAACTAAATGGCTGTTAATGTTAACTAACTGAAAACTATGAAACTATACTCTTAAAGTATAATCTTCCTTGAATCAGAGAAACAGTATAAGCTAATATAATAATATTATAAGGAAAAAAGAATAAGAAGATATTTCTAATTGTTGATCATTTTTTATTAATAATTAATTTAATTTCTTAACCAATGATAAAGTAAATTGAGAAAGGTTGAAATTTTCTAAAGCTGAATATTTTACTTATTAATTTTCCAGAATGTAGTTATGTTTGTAACTGTGTAATAGTTGTCAACAGTCTCCTCTGCAAATTAATGACTTACTCAACTGCCCTCTTATTAGAGGCCTAGAACTCAAAATCATGTTAAAAAAAGGGACCAATTATGTCTATAACACTCTTTTATTATTAAAGTTGGTCTCTAAAAAGGCACACATTTAAAAACTCACCCCAATGAGGACAGTATGAATATTCCAGGATTCTAGAAAGATTCCCTCCAGAATAAAGTATATCAAAAAGTTGTCTTTAATTTGGTATATATGTGGCTTAATGCTATTTATTAAATTTTCCATGTATGTAGGGCAAATGTCACATCCACAACACAAAACTAAATGTGATTGGAAAGATGTGACATTGTTGCAACATTGTTACACGCTGACACAAAACCTATCTAGTCCAAACCCTTTTTTCTCTGTTATTTTTATATTAGTTGGATTTAATAGAAACCCTCAAAACAATACAGTAGTTCCTCCCCACTTATCTGTGGGAGATATATTCCTAGAACCCCAGTAGATGCCTAAAACCACAGACAGTACCAAATCTCATATGTACAATGTTTCTTCTTATGCATGCACACATACCTATGATATAGTTTAATTTATAAATTTGGCACAGCAAGAGATTGATGATAACTAATAACAGAATAATTTTAACAATATATTGTAATAAGGTTATGTGAATGTGGTCTCTCTCTGATCTTATTGTTCTATACTCACCCTTCTTGTGATGATGTAAGATGATAAAATGCCTTCATGATGAGATGACCCCCTGTGAAGTGGGGGCATACAGACTACAACTTGGGTGTTAGGCTACCACTGACCTTCTGACAGGTCAGAAGGAGAATCATCTGCTTCCTGACGGTGGATAACTGAAACTGTGGAGAGCAAAACTGGATAAGGGGGGACTACAGTATAATGAAATTCCCCAAAAAGTAAATTGTATCTCTTAATCTCTTATATCTCAAATCAATGGATTTCAAATGACAAAGCAATTTACCGCAACATCCACAGGTTTCAGATCAACATCATAGACAAAAGGATGGACTTTGGAGCCCAGCCACCTAGGTTCAAATCCTTCTTCCACCAGATGATAGCTGTGTAACCGAGGGTAAATTGCTTAACTTCTCTGTTCCTCAGTTTGCACACTAAATAATGATAGTAAAGCTACATTACCGCATAGGGTTTTGAGGATCAATTTGTTAACATTTTTACAGTATTTGGAATACAGTATATGTAATATAAATATTTGTTACATTAATTTAACAACTGATAATAAGAAATAGTGGTAGGAGTTTACTGAGGAACTTCTTCAGTTAGCACTCCATTTTTGTAATAAAAAATATTTTTAAAAAAATTCTGAAAAATTTCCTTAGCTTACTTTCAAGTCAGCAGGTTTCCTTAAGCCCCTACTGTGCCAGGTCTGGTGCCTTGGGGACACAAAATAAGTTTATGTGGTCTCGCCCTCAGGAAGTAACAGGATTTCTGCACTAGGTTTGGAACAAATACAAAGTTCAAAGGAACATGCAACAAAAAATATTACACTGCCACATAAATCACCCGATAAATAAAGCTATTTGAAAATTCAAGCGCTCTAAGTATATTAATAAGTGCTCTCTATATATTAATAAAACGCAATTATCAATTGGGAATGCATTTATTTTAACATCTACACAGAAAGCTGCTAAATACAATGCCTCGCATCAATAGATGGTGCAGAAATATTTTCCTTATCTCCACCTGGGACGTCTGACAAAAACTTGAGTGACCCCACAAAATCGCGGCGAATGAAAACCGCACTGGAAACATCAAAGGGCTTGCGACCGACGCCTGAGAACAGGGAGGACAACGTGGTTACGGGCTCAGTGAATACCTGAATCTTCGAAGTAAAGAGGCTCCGAGCCACAATCGAGATTAAGGACGAGGCTGTTTCCATGGCGCATGCTGACCAGTCTGCCCCCGCCAGAAGCAAGAACTAGGGGGGTTCCCCTCGCATGTGCTCTCTCGTGCGGTTCTCCCCCGCCTGTCTGGAGAAGGCAGCCTTTGAATGAGGAGCCGACGGGATACGGTGCACAAAGAAAGCACCCGAGCCCCTACAGGGCTTCCCGCGGCCCCGCTCCAGGACATGGGGGACTCCAGGCTGAGAGACGACGGGTTCCTCCAAGCTAACAGTTCTCACGCCGCCTCCCATATCTCAGGGATGAGCATCCGAGCTCAATCCCTGGCGACAACACTCCAGCTCAGCGGGCCGCGGAGGTGTCTGTCAGGGTTACCGCATCAGCCGCCCCCGATCAGGCCCCTCACCCCGCCGCCCTCGTCCCGGACAATACGTCACTTCCGGCGCGCGCGCCAGCCCGCGGATAAAGACAGGGGCCTGGGAGGGGAGGGGAGCAAGGGGGGCGGGGCGGGGGAAAGGGGAGTGTCTGCCCGGCGCCGCCGCAGCTGCCGCTGCCACAGCTGCTGCCTCCCGGGCTGAAGAGTTGGCTGAAGCCCTGCCCTCCGAACCGGCCCAGTTTTCCCGCCCGGACTCGGGGCGCCAACGCCGGGAGCACTCACCGCTTTGATCGGTGCAGAAGCGGGACTTGCCTCAGCCTGTGGAGCGGCGGGGACGACCCCGGCCCCCCTTCCCCTCCCTGACCCCTTCTTTCCATCGCCCCAGTCATGGGGAACGCGGCGACCGCCAAGAAAGGCAGCGAGGTGGAGAGCGGTGAGTCAAGGGCCGGGTCTGGGTACCTGCCGGGCGGGCGGGCGCGGGGCATCGACCGTCCCTCCGGGTCGGAGCCCCGAGGCCGCGGGCATGGCCCAGGCCTCGCAGCGGCCGCCGGTAGCTGCTCGTGGGGGCCCTAGGGACCAGCTGCCTTCCTCCTCCACAGCCTTGCCCCCCGGCTCCGGCTTGAGGGCCGAGCGCGAAGGGCTGGATGGAGAGATCGAGGTAGAAGAGTGTTCCCCGAGACTCCCTTTCTCTTTAGAGCGAGGGGACGCACTCACTAGAACAATTCCCCAAATATGGTCCGGATAAAGAAGTCCCTTGTACCATCCCAACCCTCGCTTCCCCTACCCCCGACCACCTCTTTGGGAGCCACAGGTAGTGCTGTGGGCAGAGTTGGCTCTTTTCCCTCCATCGCTTGGGTCCAGCGCAATCTTATCACAGGGTAAGGGGCTGCTAGTCTGGCTCTCTGCTGCAGGTAAGGTTAATTCTGAGTAAGCAACTATGTTTTAGAGATCCTGCAGCTCTTCAGATTAGGAATGGAAGATAGAACGAGACTAAACTGCAACTTTATCCATGAAAAAAAGCAAAGCAGGTTTGCTTTTTCTTGCGACATTTCAAGACTCTCCTAGAGTGTCTGTAAAACTTAAAGGTCACTGGAAGTTGAAGTGCTTCCAGAATAGGGTGAATTTCTTCTGACAGCTGAAAGTGCAGGCACCCTACACTTTACACCAAATAGTAAAAAATGATGCAAATTGAATTTCTGTATAGTTCAATCAATCAATCAGGATGGTTGTGAAAAAAAAAATGATGTCTTTGTAAGGTTCATCTCAGATTTTATAATTCAGAATGATAAGACAACAAATGGTATTTGTTATGTCACCAGGAGTAAATGACAGAATGCCAGATGATTTATTCCGGTTTGTGTAATTAGTATCTTTTAATGTTTCTATGTTTGTAACATGTTTTAGATTAATTTGGTAATTTAGCATGAAGGAAAAAGCTTTTTTTTTTTTTTTCTGTATCAACAAAGCAGAATCAATTTGGAAAAATTTAGTCATTCATTTTGTTTAATGTGAATAATGAGATTATATGGTTTATGTTTCACCAGTGAGGTTTTGGTATTAATTTTCGGGAGCTCCAGAAAAGTTTGATATACTATCATACAAATTATCAATGACCATACTTTAGTATGTGATAGGGAAATTTTCGAAAGCCAATTTAGAGGTAGAACTTTGTCTTTTCTTTTTTAACTGCACAAATGTAGTAACTGTATAGAAAGTATAGGAATGTGGAAAGTATCAAGAATTATTTATGTCTGATGAGTTATCATTTTTCCTTTTAAATCAAAGATAAAATATGTGCTAATTGTGTTACAAAGGAGTGTGCTTGGTAATTGAATCATATCAGTGATTTTCATTAGCAAGTACTGGCCTGTACAGTGTTTCTATTTTTAATAATGATAGTAGACTCTTCTCTGATCTATATATTTCCATTATTAAGTTATCAACTAATTCTCCCTGAGACAGTACTGATTTGAAGCTCAGAACTATGGGATAATCTTAGAATATTTACAGAAAACAGAATGGAAACTTTAAATGTTTATCTAAATGTATTTAAATTATTCTTATGAATGAATTCTTTCCTGAGCTTTAACTATTAGTGACAGCCTATTTAGTAAGTATGTTAGCCAGCTTTTTATGTAAGTTTATTTATGGAAACTGAAGGTCAATATAGTAGTTTGAATAAATGTTGTGAAGTGATAAAAGAAAATAGCAAGTGAGATCTCATAGGGACAGTTATTAGAAATGCCATGTGTTGATCACTTTGTAATTTCATCTGGAGCGATGTTATCAGGTGTGTGTTCTATAGTGAATCAAGAAAGTTTATTGATATCTCTTAAAACTTAATGAAAGGACAGCTTTTACCATTACAAACCTAACTTTCTATGTATTTTTACTTGAAAATACATGCCTTTCAAAATTTGAATGTAGTTATTTAAACTTCAGTTGATACATAACAGCATAAACTTTTAGAAATATAAGTAATCTTACAGATCAGCCTGTATAATGATTCCATTTCAAAGCCAAAGAGCCTGACCTTTGAAGAAACTGAAGTTGGGATCAGATTATTAGTGATACCAGAGTAAGGAATAGAATCTGGTGCTCTGACTCCATTCTGCCTCATGAAATAATCAGTTAATACATATATTTTCGGGGCGCCTAGGTGGCTCAGTTGGTTAAGTGACTGCCTTCGGCTCAGGTCATGATCCTGGAGTCCCAGGATCAAGTCTCGCATCGGGCTCCCTGCTCAGCAGGGAGTCTGCTTCTCCCTCTGACCCTCCCCTCTCTCATGTGCTCTCTCTCTCTCTCTCTCTCATTTTCTTGCTCAAATAAATAAATAAAATCTTTAAAAAAAATACATATATTTTCAAAATGCCTGCAAAGTGTATTAGTTTCATTTGGAGACTCTAAGTGAAAGCTCAAGAAATCTACCTAGTGTAAGTGAGAAAATGTACTTATAGAAGTTAACCAAAGAGCAAAATATGGTAAGTGCTAAAACTATGGAAAGTGAAGTTAGAACTCTGAAAACTACCAATAGGAAAATGTTTGATTTCAAATGATTAAAATGTATAAGGTTGATTAAGATTTAAGGTTTGGTTAGGACCATGCCTCATATGGGTGACTCTGGAGCTTCATTATAAAAATATTCCAGAAGAATGAAGCTTTGACCATTTGGCACCTCTGTTGTATTCTATTGAAATCTCTCTACTCTTAGAATGAAACATTTTCCAGAGTAGGACTTGGAGATGCCATTCTCATCTCCATACTTTCTGGAGATAACATTAAGTTGGGTACCTATTTTTCTACTTTAGTGAACTAGGAAATTGTATTGATATATCTTAAAACTTACTGAAAGAACATCTCTTACTATTACATACCAACTATTCTGTGTATTTATAAAAAGTTATTCTCAAAAATATGTGTTTCAAAATTTGAGTGTAGTTACTTAAACTTCCACTAATACACAGAAGCATAAATTTTAAATATATGAGTATATAATTCTCTAAGAAGTTATAAACTCTTGTCATTCAAAATTGTTTTACTTATCCAGTCTCCCACTTCTTACTTTACTCACAGTCACCAACAAAAAAAACACAAATGCCACCATTTTAACATGGGAAGGATTTTTTTGTGGTTTATTTCATTTTTTTAAGAAAAACATTAGACCCCACAGGTTGCCTGTGGGGCTTTGTATTACACTTTCATGGCAAAGGTGTTGAGGCCAATGGTTCGTGAAGTCCTGGTAGAGATTTGGATGCAGATTCTTCTGTGACTGTAAGTGGTAGAGCCACCATGTAACCTAGTGTTTACATAATGATTTTGAATGTTTTCCAGAGTATCTCTCTGTCTTAAGAGCTTGAAGGTGAATAGAAATTAATCAAAGAAAGTAGCCAGGAGATTAGGTTCAACCAAAACACAAGTTTCATAACAACTTGCATTTTTGGAGGGCTTACTATGAACCAGGTTCTCTGTGTACTTTGCATGTATAATTTCACTTAATCTTTCCAGACTACTATGAAATAGTTTAATTATTTTTCCATTTTATAAATGAGGAAATGGAGGCTCAGAGAGCCTAAATGACTTGCCTAAATTCCTACAGCGAGGAAGTCCAGGAGCAGCATTTGAACCTAGGCAGCTTAACCCGGGACCCGAAATCTTCACCACTGTGCAAACAGCCTATGTGTATCCAATGGGAAAACTGATTCTAAGACACACAGAATAGCTTAGACTTCACTTTGTTTCAGTTTGTTATCAATTATAGGAAATTTTGGTTGCTTTTAATAGTGACTTCATTTGTATATATTAAGTATCTTAAATGAGAGAATTATTTTTCTTGTACTGTTCTCCAGATTCAGTTTCCTCATCTGTAAAATGAGGATGAAGGATTAAATCGTCTTGAAAATCTTTTCAGATTTGATATGGTGTAATTTCAAATTAAGCCATATAAGTTAATTTATATGCCTAAACCCTTCACTGCTATTTGTATTTGTATTTAATTATCTTTCTCATTTGTAAATATATACTTTCCCTTCCTGATAAATAGCCAATCAAAACATTACTATTTAAACTTGTATTGCCATTTTAAAAAGTATTTAGAAATTTGCATTTTGGTTTAGAGTAGTACTATCCAGTCAGACTTTCTGTGTGGTGGAAATGTTTCTGTATTGTCTAATGTAGTAGTCACTAGCTGTATGTGGCTATTGAGCAGTTGAAATGTGACCAGGGCAGCTTAGAAACTGAATTTTTAACTTAAATGTGGCTGTTAATGTTTGGTATAATGGACAGCACGGGTTTAGAACATAGCTGTCTTTATATGTAATAAAAATGCCAACCCATCTTTTCATCATCTTTGGAATTTGGATCCTCACAAGTATGTGTTGATGAACGGAATGCTGGACTTATCTTTTCACATACTAGGAATTAACTTATTTCTAAAGCATTTCCTCTGAGTAAGCCTTTATAACTTTAGTGAACAGATTACTATAGTAATTTGTGTATAATCTGTAAAGTTAACTACAAAGTGAGTTTCTCTATTGGGTTCTACTAGAATTTTTTTTTTTTAGTTTTTAATACTGAATCTCAGTGAAAATATTTTTATTGAAAATTTTTGTAGAAATAAATGTTGATTAGGAAAAATTTAGTGATCTCATATGTTACTCATGTCTTTAAAGCTTTTAATTATCAGATATTTTTAAGGGAAAATCAGTAGTAGATATTTGTTCCAATTTACTGGATTGGCAGAAGTACTTGGGAATAGTTTTCGAGTTAAAAATTTTTGAAAAAGAAAAAAGTTCATAACAAACAGCAACATTATTTAATAAATACATATTATCTCATCCAGTTACGTGATTTTGTAATTCATTTTGTGCAGATCACCTAATGCATAAAATCATCTCATGTTCAGGAACCATTTTTTCCATTCTCCTGGTCAGTGTC